AGCCGAATGTAAGTCGAGACTCCACTGTATTTAATTATAATATAGTCATTGTGTCCTGTTGTAAAACCATTCAGAGCAGTCGTTTCCAGTAGATGGGCAGTATAAGAATCAAATAAGTGAGTGAATGAGTGGATGGATGGATGGACGGATGGACGGACTTCCACTAGATGGGCAGTATAAGAATCAAATGAGTGAATGAGTGGATGGATGGATGGATGGATGGACGGACGGACGGACGGACGGACGGATGGATGGATGGATGGATTGCAGCCAAATTAGTAAAGGATAACACTTCCTTTACTATGCAAGATCTGAGCAGGACTGTTAATGATGAGGACATTGTGAAGGTTGTTAATTCAGGTTTGTTTCTGGTCTTGGAGCCCAGCTTGAGGGCGAGAGGTAAGAAGTAAGAGGATTGCCCTCCTCACCCTGCTGCTTCTTTGCTTAAAATGCTTTCCACTACAATTCTTTTTATAGCAGTTTGGAGTGACGCTGTTGCTAGTGCTGCTCTGTAGCAACACATAGAACCTCAGAGACCTCCTCTTCTTGAATGTCCTCGGAAAACACTGGGCAGATATCTGTTGGAGATCATAATAATCTTAGAACTGCAGAAGCTAGAAGGGACCCTCTGGATCATCGAGTCCAGCCCTTCTCAAGGTTGGCACAATACGGAATTTAGCTCCCGACCTCTGGTGCTGGAGACAGACGCGTAAACCTTTGAGCTAGTCAGCATACATTGAGAGCTGGGCAACTAAGTCAGACCCACCTTCTTTGGAAGAGGTCCCGGGGTCAATCCTCCTTCTGAAAGTCTCTCTTCTCGCCCAAGTCTGATTTAAAGAATGCTGAACCAAAAAGAGAGGGATCAGAATCTTCGCAATTGCTTATCCACACTGAAACCCTGGACAGGAAGATTCAGCAAGTGCACCTGTTCAAAGTGAGGTGCAGTGTATAATTTAAAAAAAATTATTGCTAATTTTGCATCTCTCGAGATGCAAAAATTAGCATAGGCAATTTTATGCAAATGCATGATTTATTTCTAATTTTGCACCAACGTATGCAGATCGGCATATACTGTTCCATGCAAATCATGGCCTCCTTTACGGAGATGCATAGAGTGGCCACCCTGTGGGTAACCCTTTCAAAAATATAATCTTAGAACTGCAGAGCTGGAAGGAGCTCTCCTTGAAGCTGGGTGTCAGCTGAGTGGTGGGCCCACAAACACAGGCAGCAGGCCTGGCTTCTCTGCAAGGAGTCAGGAGTGCCGCCTTTCAGGACGGTGGTGGAAGCAGAATTAGAAGAGCAGCTTTGAGACAAGATAGGGAGACAACTGGGAAAGGGGACAGGGGAGTTGTAAGGGGAAAAAGTGTGGTGCTCTTTTTTTGGCAAAACAAGATCCATGAACTGAACCACTAACTAGCCCAGTTTGTGTGTTGTTTTTCTCACCCCGGTTCGTGGTTTGGTTTGTGTCCATCTCTACTCCTGACCTCTGGGTCCACAGCCAGATCCCTAAGCCGCTGAGCTATCTAGCCATGGCAAGGCTGTGGGATCACGGCCTCTCCCAATTTGAAGAGACCCTTGTCCAGCAGGCTGAGGCAAAGAGGAAGTCACAAAAGCAGCAAAACCAGGGAGCTGGACAGGGGACAGATTGGATTTGTCTTCAGTGTGGAAGAGATTGTCACTCTCGAATTGGCCTCCTCAGCAACACTAGACGCTGTTCCAAGTCCTCCATACAGAGCACGTCACCACAGTCTTTCGAGACTGAAGGATGCCTAACAACCCCGTCCAGATCTATGATTCCATGCGTCTGATGTTTTAATGCAGTGGTTCTTAACCTTTGTTACTCGGATGCTTTTGAACTGCAACTCCCAAAAACCCCAGTCAGGACAGCTGGTGGTGAAGGCTTCTGGGAGTTGCAGTCCAAAACTCCTGGCTCAAGGTTGACTCAGCCTTCCATCCTTCCGAGGTCGGTAAAATGAGTACCCAGCTTGCTGGGGGGGCAATGTGTAGCCTGTATAATTAAAAATTGTAAACCGCCCGGAGAGTGCTTGTAGCGCTATGGGGCGGTATATAAGTCCAATAAACAAACAAACAAACAAACAAACAAACAAACAAACAAATAAATAAGAACCAGTGCTTTAATGAAATGAAGAAAGGCGAAACTTTTCTGAGACGAAACACAAGCTGTTTACTGCTCCCGTCAGGATCAAGAGATGGTGCTCATCAAGAAACCCAGGGGAGAAGGGGGAAGAAAAGGAAGAATGGTCTCTCTCTCTCTCTCTGTATAATAACTCTTCCTAATCCATCCTCTTCTCTGAGGCCGTGTCATTTGGAATTTTGGCAGCCCAACTGACATGAACCTCACCCGCAAATTTCTAGAGACAGGCAGTGTTCCTGAAGTGGAAAGATAAAGAGCTCATAAGGGGGGGGGGCGCTTGCCACACAGCAATCAACAAGGAAAGGTGGCGCCCAGCACATATTTCAATTGCTTTGCGCGGGGGCGTCGCCAACCGGCTTTTACCATTTTGCACTTAACGCCCCGGAGCTGCCAGCAGCCTTATTGCAAGGGAGGGTCTGTTTGCTTGACATTTCCATCACAAGATCCCTTATTTTCGAAAAGGCTTTAGAGTTCTGGGTGTTTTAATTAACAAGGGGATTACACTTGGCAATCAAGCTGCCAAGCCGGAATCTTCATCGGCACTCCTCTTTTAAAGGAATAGAAGGGTCAGTGTGGTTTCTCTGAGGTATTTCTCTACAGTAAATGAGTCTGAGCGCCCATCTTATAAACGAAGGGACCCCATTCATTGGGAGACTGTATTTCTCTAAAACCCTCTTCGGAGCTTAACGTCTGAACTGGACGTTCCTGGATTATAGCTACAAAAATCTCCACAATACAGCTTCAGTGATGGACCAGTAATGATGGGTTTTCTGCATTTTCTAGACTACAAATACCATCACCCTCCATTCTGGGAGTTCTACCTCCCTTACGGACACATTACAAGCACGTAAATGTGATGCACCTGGGATAAAGACCTCAGCTGAAAGGCCTCGAGTTTTCGCTAGGCCTTAGCACCACTCAAGCTTCTGGCTGACCAAGAAAGCTCCCAGCTAGCACTGGGACAGGAACAGGAAGTATGGGTAGAGCTAGGCCTAGCTAAACCTCAAAACCTTCCTTCATTCTTTATCCTAGGCACAACACATTTAGGTATTTGCAAAATATCTGCAAGGCAGGTAGAGCTCTCAAAATGGGAGGAAATAATTAAAAAAAAAACAGTCTCTATGGAATGGCCTTCAGAAGGGGCCTGGCTGTGGTGGACAGTTCAAGTCCTCAGGCAGAGGGGTGGACTAAGGCAAGCGTACTGACTGTGTTTTTCAGATACTCTCTGCAGTGAACTACCAAAAGATAGGAACTGCTACAAAACAAAGTTTTATTAAACATAACCCTTTTTTTGCCGTTCTGATTGTTCTCTTGTGTTGCTCGATGCACCGTCACTGCATAAAATGAGTGTGTTTGAACTTTGTCTTGTGCAGGCTGTAGCAGAGTTGCTGAGCAATCTGGGTTCCGATCAATGATGAATATTTGTACACACAATGAAATAAGATGCCTTTGGGATCCTGTGGTTGGAGCAGGAGCAACCTGGAAGCAAAGCAGCTTGCAAGAGGTAGACCAGCGTGGGCCTTTTTGCAGATATCGCTGGACAGAGAACATCAGGAGTAGCAGACATTGTCACAAAGCTGGCCAGCATCCTGTTGGTCGATTACACAGGCATAAGCTACCTGCGCAACCCAAACAGTGGCAAATTGTCACTACCTTGCAAGGTGCTGGATATTGCAGCGTTGGGTGCAAAGCTTGTAACTAGAGATGAGCACAAATCAATTCATGCTGCTTTGTAGGAAGCTGTCGGCAAGGCACCTAGGGTGCTGCGTGTTCACTCCCCCCCTCCCCAGTCAGCTGCCCCATTCACAAGCCTCCACACACCACCAGGTTCCTCCTTCTCTGGTGGTGCTCTAATCCAGGCAGGAACTCGGTCTGCCCTTCCCTGCCTCCCTCGGCAGCTGACTACTCAGATGAGGTGGCACGGCAGGGATTCTCCCTGCGTTGTCTTTGAGTGGGCGGCTGCCAGAGGAGGTGGGGAAGGGCAGCCCAAGCTTCTGCCCAGACTGGAGTGCTGCTGAAGAAAGAGGAACCCAGTGGCACATGGAGGCTTCTGAGTGGGGCAGCTGTCCAGGGTGGGTGAGTGAAGCAAACGCTCAGCACCTGTAGTGCATGAATTGATTCGTGCCCATTTCTACTTGTAACACAATCAATATACAACAATTTGCTTTTTGGGTGGGTGGGGGAATTCTAACTCCCAGAATTCTTCAAGAATTCTCCAGGAAGAATTCTGGAGGTTCCAGCCCACTGACACATAGTTGCAGACGCCAACATTGTGCTCACCTGGCACAGGGCCTATCCTCCAGACTGCTTGGCTGCTTTAGTCTACTTCCTGTTGTCCGTGTACAGAAAGGAAACGATCCCAGTGCTTCCTTGGAGGCCAAATTCTTGGCTGAGAGTGTAGTTCTTTGAGAAACACCCTGTATTGAATCTTAAGATTACACATTTCATGAACAGCATAACTCACTGCAGGAAATTCTTCCTCACTAATGGGGTATCCAAGCAGCGGGGGGATTTCTGGGTGGGTTTCTAAACAACCCAAATCTACACATCTCTGCTGGAAACTGTTTGGAAGCCTTTTGATCCTTGTTGGCAGACTGCTTTTTTTTTTCAGAAAGCAGTGCTTTCTACTTCACTAGATATATATTTTTCAGATGAAATGGTCTCTCTTTCCCCTCCCTGCTACCCCCCACCTTGCCACTTCCACCTCCTCAAGCAGTAAACATACCATTTCCCCATGTTCAACAACCTCTTTTCCTTGATTCTTGATGGACTCGTCATATCATGGTAGGGAGGTGTACAAGTGTTTGTGTTTTGAAACGCACTGACCTGCTGGGGGAAACTGGGAGAGCTAGAGAGACAAAGAGAGAATTTTCCTGAGGAGACCGTTTCATAACATTTCTTCCCGGGTTTGTATTTTCCTTTCTCTGCTTCTTCTCGTTTTGTAGTTTCAGGCACAGCGTTCAGTTTGTCTGTTGCCCTGTGACTCACCTTTGACAGTCTGCCGAGAGAAAAAAATGTTTGCAATGTTAGTTAAAATCTCAATCCGATCCACTTACCTGAGCGTTAAAAAAACTGTAAAGGTAAAGGTTCCCTTTGACAATTTGTCCAGACTTGTCCGACTCTAGGTGGCAGTGCTCATCTACGTTTCGAACCCATAGAGCTAACGTTTGTCTGCAGACAATCTTCCGTGGTCACATGGCCAGCATGATTAGACACGGAACGCCATTTACAGTGGTGCCTCGCTAGACGATGATAATCCGTCCCACTGAAATAGCTGTTTAGCAAAATCATCGTCTAGCGAAAAGCATTTCCCTATTGGAATGCATTGAAACCTCTTTGATGTGTTCCAAGGGGAAGAATCATCGTTGTCTAGCGAAGATCAGCCATAGGAAAGCCGCTTTACGAACCACTGATCAGCTGTTTAAATAGCTGTCTTGCGAAGCTTAGGTCCCAAAAATACCTGTTTTGCGAGCATGGAGGGAGCTGTCAAAATAGTTGTCTAGCGAAAATTGGTTTGCGAAGCAGGGACCAAACATTGTCCAGCGAAATTCCCCCATAGGAATCACTGTTTTGCGAATCACTATAGCGATCGCAAAAAGTCAATGTCTAGTGAAAAAACTGCCATGCAGGGTAACTGTCTAGCGAGGCACCACTGTACCTTCCCACCGAGGTGGTACCTGTTTATCTACTCACATTTTTGCATTTTGCATGCTTTCGAACCACTAGGTTGGCAGGAGCTGGGACAAGCGACGGGGGTTCACTCCGTCCTGTGGATTCGATCTTACAACTGCAGGTCTTCTGACCTTGCAGCACAGAGGCTTCAGCAGTTTAACCCGCAGCGCCACCACATCCCTTACCTGAGCGTAATAAGCATTGAAAGCCATGACCGTTAATTCCGAAAATAGACATGTAGAGGACTATGATGCAGATTTCCGCTGCCTAGGTTCTTATCCTATATCTCCTCACCGACAGTGCTTTCTAGACAAAATCTGCTCCTTTCCCCTAGGGAAAAAAATCAATTACAGTAGGTCTCCGTTATCCATGGGATCACTATCCACTGATTCAGTTATCCACAGTCTGAAAATATTAAAGTATTAAAGAAAAAATCCTAGAAATATACATTTCTAAAGATAAAGTTTCCAGAAATGGCCGAGGGAGCCAGAGAACAATGCTATGTATAGCACTCGCTATTAAAATAGCATTTATTATAATCCACTTTTTCTCTATTTGGAGGGGGGCTTGGAACTGATCTCCTGTGGATTTAGGGATCCTACTCTACCATGTTCCAGAGCAATAGTGAAAGAACTTAAGCACCCCCCTCTTCCTGGCAGGCTTCTTGTTGCATGATTAATCTCTCTCGCCCAGAGCAAGTACGGCCAAACAGTGGGAAGCTTGTTGGACTAGAGGTGAAGCGTATGCAGTTTCCCTTTTACTCTGTGCCAGTCATGATGAGTCACGTGTTTGCAACATAGTTATAGGTGCCTAAGTGACAGATCCTGAAGCTGAGGCTCCAACACTTTGGCCATCTCATGAGAAGAGAAGACTCCCTGGAAAAGACCCTGATGTTGGGAAAGAGTGAAGGCAAGAGGAGAAGGGACGACAGAGGACGAGATGGTTGGACAGTGTCATCGAAGCAACCAACGTGAATTTGACCCAACTCCGGGAGTATAGCGATCCCGAAAAAGGGGATCGCTATACGGATTCGTCGTTATACGGTGCGCTCGCTAAGCGAGGCACCACTGTATCTCCTCACCAACAGTGCTTTCTAGACAAAGCCTGCTCCTTTTCCCTAGGAAAAAAAATCAAGTACAGTAGGTCTCCGTTATCCATGGGATCACTATCCACTGATTCAGTTATCCACAGTCTGAAAATATTAAAGTATTTTAAAAAAAATCCTAGAAATATACATTTCTAAAGATGAAGTTTCCAGAAGTGGCCGAGGGAGCCAGAGAACAATGCTATGTATAGCACTTGCTATTAAAATACCATTTATTATAATCCACTTTTTCTCTATTTGGAGGGGGGCTTGGAACTGATCTCCTGTGGATTTAGGGATCCTACTCTACCATGTTCCAGAGCAATAGTGAAGGAACTTAAGCACCCCCCTCTTCCTGGCAGGCTTCTTGTTGCATGATTAATCTCTCTCGCCCAGAGCAAGTACGGCCAAACAGTGGGAAGCTTGTTGGACTAGAGGTGAAGCGTATGCAGTTTCCCTTTTACTCTGTGCCAGTCATGATGAGTCACGTGTTTGCAACATAGTTATAGGTGCCTAAGTGACAGATCCTGAAGCTGAGGCTCCAACACTTTGGCCATCTCATGAGAAGAGAAGACTCCCTGGAAAAGACCCTGATGTTGGGAAAGAGTGAAGGCAAGAGGAGAAGGGACGACAGAGGACGAGATGGTTGGACAGTGTCATCGAAGCAACCAACGTGAATTTGACCCAACTCCGGGAGGCAGAGAGAGGAGGGCCTGGCGTGCTCTGGTCCATGGGATCACGAAGGGTCAGACACGACTTAATGACTAAACAACAACCAAGTGAGCAATCTAATAGATTTGTTGAACTATGCAGGGTTCTTAAACCATGTTTTGTATGTTTTCATGGGATGTAAGCAGCTTTTACTAGGAGAGCCCTACCATTAGGCAGAATGAGAAACTGCCGTAGTTGGGGAGTTGCTGGTAGCTGAAAGTTGCTGGGAGACAGAGATGCGTGTCTGCTAGTGTGTAAATATACAACCTGCCCTGTCTAAGCTAGCCTGTTGACCTCTAATGGGGTAGAAGGTAACTGCTCAATGGCTAGAATTCTCTAGCACTTGACATCATCAGCCACTGGTTGTTTGGCTCTCAGTCATGCTGCCAGGATTAGGTTAGGCATCCTTCAGTCTCGAGAGACTCTGGTAATGTGCTCTGTATGGAGGACTTGGAACAGCGTCTTGTGTGGCTGAGAAGGCCAATTTGAGAGTGACCGACCCTTCCACACTGAAGACAAATACAATCTGTCCCCTGTCCAGTTCCCTGGTTTTGCTGGTTTTGGGACTGCCTCTTTGTCTCGGCCTGGAAACATGGTGGTGATTTGGGTGCTACATCTTGAACAGCATGATGGATTATACTGTAGCTTCCATTCAATTCATGTTTCTTTCCCTTGGCCTTTCAGTCCAAAATTTCTGTTTTTTGGGTAACATTGAAATGTAAGACATGGGATGCAATGGCGGGACAGTTTAGTAGGGCTGTGTTGTATTTTTGTCACAAATGTTTTTCCCCCCTTTTTTCCTGGTAAGCATCGCAAACATGTAGGACACCGTGTATTAATAATCATTTAAAACAAGAGGTGGCCCCTGAAATAGTCAGAAAGCTCCTCAGCAATGTCTCTTGCAATTAGTGTGCTTTGTTTTGTGATTGGCCACTGGAAGGTAAACACACACCTACTTTGCACATATAATGGCTGAGGATTACATCCATGAGAAAATCCTGTTGTAGGATGAAGAGAAATTACTTAGAGGAAACACATGTTTTCCTTTTAGAGCTATTTCAACTCTCAGTTGCCTTTGCAACAGAAAGAACCTTTTCAGTCTCAAGAAGTTAGTCCCAGGTAAATCAATGAAATTTCCCTGAATAATAAAGAGTAGCAAGAATGTTTTAAAACTGAAATTTATTGACATGAAGGAATAAGCAATATTTGGAAAGAAATTAGAGAGAATAAGACTGCAAACCTTTTACTATTGATTGTATGACCCACTGGATACACTTCTTTCTTAGTAAGTATGCATAAGATTACTCGGTAAATCTCTTCCCTCCCTCCCTCCCTTTGTGTGTGTGTGTGTGCGTGTGTGCGTGTGTGTGTGTGTGTGCAGGCCCCATTTAATAAAGGAGGTAATTACAGCCAGCCCATTGGTAAGACTGTATAATTACTGGATTTTCTTCCTGAAGAAGCATAATTAAGGGAACTTGAACTGTGACAGGAGAATGGCTGAGCCAGCTAGTTTGGTATTTCATCAAATTAAATGACCGGGCTTGTTCTCTCCATGCTGTTTCTTGACCAGACTGGAGGATTTAGTGCCTCTGGTTTTCTGCCCTTCATGTCTGGATTACAAACAAGTCCAAACTCAGTGGCTTATGGAAGAGATGCTCATAGATCCCCTGGCTGTTGTTAAGGCCAAGTTCCAGTGACTTCTGCGCTGTGAAACACAAAAAGCTAGAATTCTGTGGAAGCCAGGAGCATCAGTGCTGGCAAGCAGGGCAGGCTCTGTGAATTCTGGTAACTAATGGGAATGCAGTTAATTAACAACACTGTGCCCTTAGAATTCCGTTAAGCTCTGCTGCAGAATTTGAATTTTCAGTTTATCGAAAAGATTATTTGTGCGGGCAATATGATGTTGGATGTTTTGAGGCTGCAGTGGTATGGAGAATCTTCTCAGCTGGCGTGGTTTAAGGGTATTCTGTTGCACTTGGTATTTTGTGGTGAGCATAGAGTCAATATTCCTAGCGGAGACCATACGTCCATCTCCTGGGGAAGGCGTGAGACAAAGAGCCCCTGCTGTTGTTGCTGCTTTTAAAATTGTTGAACTGCTCAATAGTGCAGTGGATTAGCTGCAGAGCCAGAGAGAGGTCAGGAGTTCGATCCCCCCCCCCCGNCAGAGTTTGGACTTAATCTGTAGGGTCCCTTCCAACTCTGCAGGTCTAAGGTTGTTGTTGCTGTTGTTGTTGTTATTAGAGACTCTAGAGTGGACAAAGTGCAGCCCTCTGTATCTTAATGTAACTTCCACAGTTCCTCGCCATGAGCTGCACCGGTGAAGGCATTTGCAGCTGCAGCCCAATAACTTTTGATGGGTCATATCTGTTTTTGCCAACCTCGGTCTCGCCCCAGAGGTTAGAGAGCTTTTTAAAAAAACTTCTGGCCCGAATTCGCTTGGTAGGTGTGTTGGGATTCCATATCTTTCTGCGGACAACGGATGAGGTGGCGAGGCACGTCTTGTTAATATGCCTGGCCATGTGCCTAATTGCTCAGTGGATGCACCTCAACACAACTGAGCATGGCGAATTATACATACCTTATGTGGACACTGATCAGATTCCAGGTGATGAGTTACAATGCCAAGTGCAGTGCAGTAGACAGAGTGATGGAACAAGACTCAGGAGATCTGGGTTCAAATTCTCACTTGGCCATGTAAATGAGTAGACATTGTCTAGAGGGGCGGGGTAAAAATCAATCAATCAATCAATCAATCATCAATCAAACAAACAAACAAATAAACTCGCTTGTGGGGTAGAATTGGGAAAACCACTCCTTAAATATCATGAAAGCCTGGCTAGGTATCTGTGGGGTAGAATTGGGAAAATCACTCTTTAAATATCATGAAAGCCTGGCTAGGTATCTTTAATTTTGTTGTGATGTGGCAAAACATAACATAACAGCTATAATTATAGTCCCCAAACCATTATTATAATTATTTAAAGAGGAATACAGGAATCAGTAGGATTCTACTTTGTCCTTTTTCCCAGTAGAAATATTGGAAAGGGACTCTCAGTCAGGCCCTTGAGAGAGAAGGGAACAATTCAGGCCTCCTTCTCCCAGCAATTCCAGTTAGGAGAAAGGGTCGGGCTGCTTTGAAGAGAGACAATAAAACATAAATCAAACCAACCAACCAACCAACCAACCAACCAAACAAACAAACAAACAAACAAAGTCTTAACATTCTGACTGGGCTTAAGTATATATAGGAAAGCTAAGTCTGAGCATCTTGTCCTAGAGTAATCGTCTCTCTTAGTTGCTGTCTAAAAGTGTGGCTGAGAAGGCCAATTCAATTTTGATTGGGCTTAAGTATATATAGGAAAGCAACCTTCTATAATCCTCTTGTTTATGCTAAGTCTGAGCATCTTGTCCTAGAGTAATCGTCTCTCTTAGTTGCTGTCTAAAAGTGTGGCTGAGAAGGCCAATTCATAAGTGACCATCCCTTCCATACTGAAGACAAATGCAGTCTGTCCCCTGTCCAGCTCCCTGATTTTGTTGCTTTCAGGACTGCCTCTTTGCCTCGGCCTGCTGGACAAGGGTCTCTTCGAATTGGGAGAGGCCGTGATGCAACGCCTGCCTCCAGGCTGAACGCTCAGATGTCAATGTTTCCCATCTGTTGAGGTCCATTCCTAAGGCCTTCAGATCCCGCTTGCAGATGTCCTTGTATCACAGCTGTGGTCTCCCTCTGGGGAGATTTCCATGCACTAATTCTCCATACAGGAGATCTTTTGGAATCCGACCATCAGCCATTATCACAATGTGCCCGAGCCAATGTAGACGTCACTGTTTCAGTAATGTATACATGCTAACAATTCCAGCTTCTTCCAGGACTACACTATTTAGAAATTTGTTCTGCCAGGTAATGCCAAAAATGTGTCAGAGACATCATCATCATCATCATCATCATCATCATAGAAAGATGTAGGCTGACCTTTCTTTTGGTATTTATTGGTGCCCACCTAATATCAAGCAGAAAATAGCTCAAGGTCAGTTTTCCCTGTCTCTCTCCCTCTTTCCAACACCACAATGGGTGCCACATTCTAGCATCCACTGGGACTCAGCCTTTGTTATAACAATATTTATACATTTACGTGCTTCCCTGTGACCTGATTGTTTTGGCCTGGTGGGTTATTAATTTTGAATACAGCTGAAACTTGGGTTTTAGTTTTGAAATAATGTTGAAGAGACGTGAAAAGAGACCAGAAATGGGTCTCTTTTCAGGGTGGATAAAAATCAACGTTTTTATATAAACAAAAAATCAAATTGATAGTGATGGACATGAACGGCCGGTTTGGGGTTCATTCCCATTCCTTTACCGCTCAAACAGGTGTTTGGCAGTTCCCATCCCTTTCTCCTCTGGTGGGCACCTGCTTAGCTGGCTTCCCTGCCCCACTTTATCTGGGCACTCCCTCTGGGTTGGCACCTGCCAGAGAACACGGGGCTGGGAACTGCCAGACACCTGTTCAGCTGGTAAACAGACTGGCATAAACCACAGAACCCGCAGTTCATGCCCTCTCTAATCACAATTGAAATCAAAAAGTCAATTTGTAAAAATTTAAATCATCAAGAAAATCTAGTCTTTTAAAATTTTAAACCAAACCCACCCTGGCACTAATCACCTTGATTTGGGTAATGAACGATGAACGTTATATATAACCTTCAACGTTCATTACTCAAATCAAGGTGATTAGTGTTATTCTTGTATTCAAGCATTTAAAGTTTTAAGTACAGTGGTGCCCCGCATAGCGACGTTAATCCGTTCCAAGATTAACGTCGCTATCCGGATTCGTTGCTATGCGGGGGGAGAAACCCATAGGAACGCATTAAACTCCGTTTAATGTGTTCATATTGGGGAAAAACTCACCGCTGTGCGGGGAATCCTCCATCCGGCTGCCATTTTCACCACCTGGTAAGCGAGGGCAGGGCGCGAAAACGCTGTGGGCGGCCATTTTGTTGACCCGGTGGCCATTTTGGAACTGCCGATCAGCTGTTTGTAAAATATCGCAATGCGATGTTTTCCCTATCTTAAAACATTGCAATGTGATCGTTAAGCGAGGCACCACTGTATTCTTGCTGCTGGGCTGCCCGTGTACTGAATTGAAGAAGTCATGGTTTTGTAGAGGCAAAGGCCTGGAGTCTAGACTTGAAAATAACAGAGATATTGTTGGGCGTTTCTTCAATCAAATCCTGCAACAAGGCCTTTCTAACATGTGGAACTTAAGGGACGCATGTACATGAAATATCCAGCTTGAGAGATGGCTGAATTGTTGTTGTAAGATGATCTGTTTTTTTTAAAATGCAAACTTGGAACATTTATAATTGTATTTGCGATATTCCTTTAGAACTCTACTGATGGGTACACTTGGCATTTACCTTTCAATAGGTCTGGGGAAGAAAATACAGAGTCCTCTTTTCAGTCACATATAAAAGCTGATGGAGCTGACAACTGAATTACAGTAGGACTCCCCTATCCACAGGATCACGGATTCATTTATCTTCTGCCTGAAACTACTAAATTTAAAAAAATTCAGAAATATGTATACATACATATTTTTGGAGTGTATTTACCAGAACAGGCCACTAGATGGAACTAGAGACCATTCAATGTATAGCATTCCATACTCATGCATTTGTTGGTATCCGCACAGAAGCTCACGAGGGTCTGTTTGTATGGCAGTGGTGGTTGCCTTTAGCATACATCTGCCTATCCTTGGACATATAGATGCCTCATATTATGACAGCATTGAAGAAGTACAATTTGAAGTACCGTGCACTGGTGGAACAGGCTGCAATATGGTTGTAATGTTTAAGGCAATTGCACTCTTCATTTCTTGCCAGGATTCCAGCGTACTCTTCTTGTTGTTGTTTAGTCGTCAAGTCGTGTCCAACTCTTCGTGACCCCATGGACCAGAGCACGCCAGGCCCTCCTGTCTTCCACTGCCACCCGGAGTTGGGTCAAATTTATTTTGGTCACTTCAGTGGCACTGTCCAACCATCTCGTCCTCTGTCATCCCCTTCTCCTCTTGCCTTCACTCTTTACCAACATCAGGGTCTTTTCCAGGGAGTCTTTTCTTCTCATGAGATGGCCAAAGGATTGGAGCCTCATCTTCAGGATCTGTCCTTCCAGTGAGCACTCAGGCTTGATTTCCTTCAGAATGGATAGGTTTGTTCTCTTTGCAGTCCAGGGGACTATCAAGAGTCTCCTCCAGCACCACCATTCATAAGCATCAATTCTTCAGCGGTCAGCCTTCTTTATGGTCCAGCTCTCACTTCCATACATCACCACAGGAAAAACATACTCTTAAGCCAAGTTGCAGGTCTTCAACAATGAACAAGATTGAATAGGGTTCAAGTTTGTGGACCTGCTTCGGTTTTGCTAGAATCCTCTAACCAGAACCAAGTGCACATTTGTAGTCCAGGGACACATGCCCTTTAGAATTAAGGAACTGAGTCAGTTTGGAGCACTTGCCCATCAGCATTTTCCACTCTGCCTAGAAGTGGTTCTTCAGCGTTGCACACAGGTTTTTTCCCCCCATAACTCTACCAAGAGATCACTTCTAATCTCCTTGGTGGTCTTCCATCCAATTGATAACCAGGTTTGCTAGCTTGCTTAGCTTTTGAAGGTGGACAAGATGAGGTGTGTTCAGGCTGAGACAATATCCCATTTGACATTGGGCAGCCTCTCAGTCTGAACCATCATCACGCCTTTATTTGAAAGGTTGACTAGTCCATGTAAAATTTAAAGATAAAGAGATATTAGAAGGAAAAGAAGGCACAAGGTCACGAAGCTGCTCATCGGTGTATGCATAATAGATTGACCAGGTATTGTACCAAGGTCACATGATTACAGCTTTTCCTACTAGGGGAAGAAATACTACATTTCTACTTAAATCTCCTTAGCAAGCTAGAGATCTTAATTAGCGTATGTAAACAATATGCAAACCAGTATCACTTTTTTTGGCCTTTTATGTGTGTCTGTGTAGGCGTTGTAGTCCTAACGTTCGGTCTAAGAGGCAGTGAGAAAAGGCTGTGCCGGGCCCTGTATGTCTGTTCTCTGACAGGTGATAACAAAGAAAATGTGTATAATGGAGAAAAGGTCTGTGGGGGCAAAGCAGAGAAGTGGAAGGCTGCTTGGGGTTTATGCATATAGGATTTCCAGCTGGGGACTGTATAAGCCAACCCTAATTATAAGGTTGGAAAGTACAGGAGATGGGGACCGGCCGGTAGCCTAGGCAACCAGGCTCAGGGTGTGTTGACTGATGTAAAAGATTAAGGTCTGAAATCTGGCCTCTTGCTGAGGAGAATAATGCTCGACTGAAGCTATGTGTGAGATATTTATTACCATTAAGAAGCCCTCAGTAAAGGAAGGAAGGAAGGAAGGAAGGAAGGAAGGAAGGAAGCCTATATCAGGGTCAACAGTTGGCTATTGAGGAAGACAAAAATAAGGTGTAATGCAAAATTCTGTGGAGACTACAGGGAACAGATCATGACCCATGGAGAAATCAGCAACGCTGAGGTGCCTCAGTGGTGTAATGCAAAATTCTGTGGAGATCACAGGGAACAGATCATGAGGTCCTACCCATGGAGAAATCAGCAACGCTGAGGTGAATTCAGAGGCAACGATAACCGATCTAGTCAGTCTCAGGAGACAAAAGCACGCTATATGATCATTTA